CTCTTTAACATTCTCTGATTTAATTGTGTGTTTATTCTTTACAATAATCAGAGAATAATGAAGTTATGCTTTCAGATTTTTTTTCCATTAGTTTTGTACTTTTACAAAATAATGGACATGTACAAAAGACAGTTAATGTATTTTTGAACATTCATATCCTGTGTCTTTAGCCTGAGTTTCATTAAAGTTATTTTGTTCTTGGTTTTAATTTCTGTCCAAGAATATTTTATGTGTCATTTAATGCAGAGACCCCAGTTTTATGTAATTCTCTATTGGAAAAAAGAAAAGCATTGTGGAAATATGCTTTAGAAGAATTTTAAATTCAACCCATATTTGGGGGCATTTCTGCAGTAGGACTTTGGAAGGTTCTCTTCTTTCTGTAAGAAATATAGCCTTCCAGAAAGGATCCATATATTGCATAAAGCACATAATATTTCTGCATATTTACTGTCAGTCATTCAATAATTTCATTAGAGTACCTAGGCTCTATGATGAAATTGATAAAATATAGCTATTGTTTGGAGTTTGGGAGGTGATAAAGTCAGGTTTCCTTTCCCTTTATAGGTTTCCATTTTTCAGTTTTTAAAACTTCAAGTACAATGTACATACATAAAAACATAGTAAGTGGTCTGGTATGATGGTTCATTTCTATAACCCAACATTTGGGAGGTTAAGATAGGAGGATCATGAATTAGATGTCAGCCTGGCCTACATAGAAACAGCATAACTCAAAAACAGCGTATTAAATGTAGAGCTTGAATTTTCACATGTAGCATCAACTAGGTTAAAAGATAGAACATTTTAAGCTCATCAGAATGTTCCCTTAAGCACTTTACTGTATTATTTGTTCAAAATATAAAAACTCTCCTGAATTTTAAACCCATGGCAACTTTTTGCCTATCTTTTGAAGTTTAATTAAAAGAAATCACAATAAATGTACATTTGGGTATGTCTTTTTTTACTCAATTCCCTTTCAGGAGATCATACATATTATGTATGGGGTATAGCTAAACTTTGTTCATTTTCTTCTTAATATATGATAGTTATTTCCAGTTTGGGATATTGTAAATAAAACTGCTATGAACATTGTTTGTGTACGCATTTTTAGTAAACTTAGAAAATGTTTTTATATTAGCTATACATCTAGCAATATAATTACTAGATCATTAGACATGTGTATTTTCACATTCATAGAAAGTACCCAATTCTTCCATGGCTGTCTGAGTTATATTTCCAATAGTTAGTGCTAGGAGTCCCAATTTCATATCCTCATCAACTCTTACTATTGGTAGTTGTTCTAATTTCAGTCATGTTGTGAATTTATATTGATATCACATTGTAGTTTTAATTAAATTTTCTCCAAATTACTGCCAAGGCTGAATACCTTTTCTCATGATTTTTGAATTCTGTACACCTTCTTTGGAAAAGTTCCTAACTAAGATTTTTGGACCATTTTTTGTCTTGGATTTTTTCTCATTCTCCAACACCTAAAATTTAAGAAACTATAGAATAAAAATGGAAAAAAACTGGGATATACAATATATGAATGTGTGAATTGTCTTCAAATTGACTTATAGATTTAACTCATTATTGATCATATTCCAAATGAATTTATGATAGAAATAAAAAATATGATTATGAAAAGAATACAGAACCCAAAGGGTCAATAAGAATGAAGATAATCTCAAAGAACAACAATGTGGAATATCTTAGTCCATTTTCTGCTATTATAACAGAATATAACAAACTGGGGAAGTTGCAAACAATAGAAGTTTATGAGGCTCCTAGATCTGGAGGGTAGGCAGTGCAAGAACATGTCGCTTGAATCTGGTAAGGGCCATCTTGCTGCATCATAACATGACAGAATAGTAAGTGCCAAGACAGAGACATAGAAAGGGAACTGAACTTATCCTTTTATCAAGAATAAACTCTAGGGATAATTCTATTCATTCATTCATGAGAGCAGACTCCTTGTGGCCTAATTGCTGCCAAGAGGACCCTCTGCTTAATACTGTTACAATGGCAATTAATTTTAACATGAGTTTTGAAGGAAACATTCTACTCATAGCATGGGAAATGCTAGGCCACCAAAGTCATTTATTATAAATCTATAGCAATCTACATGATATGACATTTGTACTTTTATAGACAAACAGAACAATGGAAATTAATTGATGTTCAAGAATAGACACACATATGTAATTACTGAGTTTTGAGAAACAACTAGTATTGTAGTGCAGTAGGGACACAACTTTCTTTTTAATAAATGTTGTGTATCAATAAGCTTAAAAATGAATAACTGAATCTTAGCTTATCCCTCATATCACATAGAATAATCAATTTCAGGTGAAATACATATGCAAATTCAAATGGTAAAACAATAAATGTTATATAGACTTTAATATAGTGTAATAATAGCTATCAGTAGGCAAATAGTTCTAGTATAAGAGACAAAAAATATAAACTATTTTTTTCAAAAATTTAAACTGTCAAAATGAAGAATTTCTCTTTATCAAAATTCATGACTGAATAAATAAAAAAGTAATTCACAAAGCAGGAAAATATATTACAACCCCAAAAGCAAATGGCTCATATTCAGAACAGAGGAACAACTCAATTTTGGTAAATCTTAAGTTAATTTTTCTCTTTTCAAATCATGCATTTGGTTTTATATTTAACCAATATTTGGCTACCTCAAAGTCACATAGGTTTCCTCTGTGGTTTGTCTGGTTAATTGACAAGATTTTTTCTGGTCCCATGTTTAAAGTTAATAAATATAATATGTATAGAAAACCCTACCTACTTGTAATGTATCAGTTTATAAAAATTCAAAACTCTTACCACACAAAATGTGTGACTACAGTTAACAGCTAATTTATTGAAAATAGAATAGCCTATATTTTTGAAACAAGGTCTCATTATGTCACCCGGGCTGACTTTGAAGTCATCATCCTCTTGCCTCAGTCTTCTGAGTGCTGGAATTACAGGCATACTCCACTACACCTGCATTCCTGGCTGTTTTGCATATTTTTTTTGGTGGTACTGGGGTTTGAACTCATGGCTTTGCACCTGTGAGCTAGGCACTGTATCACTTGAGTCACATATCCAGTAGTTTTGAATTAGGGTCTTACTTTCTGCACATGCTTGCCTGGACTGGATCTTCCTATTTATGCTTTCCTCCATAGCTGGTATAACAGGCACAATATCCAGGTTTTTCTATGGATCTGGGTTCTTGCAAACTTTTTTCCCAGGCTGGCCTTGAACTGTGATCCTTTGGATTTCAGCCTCGCAAGGAGCTAGGATTACAGGCATGAGCCACTGGAGCCAGGTGTGGCTATTATTTTTAACATTACATTTTCTTTCTTAATTTTTTTTATTGTGTTGTGCTGTACATTGTGGCATCCACAGAAGTTCTTACAATATGTCAAATACATCATACTTTAATTCATCCCCTCAATTACATTTTCTTATTATGTATATCTAATAAACTAAATCCAATATTTCTCTGAATTTTTGCTATTTGCTTTGCTTTTGTATTTTGATATAGAATATGGTATTTTGAAATTAAAAAAATATTTTTTGTGCAATTTATGAATGCCTTAAATGACAGTGATCTTTCAAAGTGGTTTATAAAAGTATAACAGTCCATAGACTACTTTCATCAGGCAGCAGAAAAATTAAAAACCTGCAAAAAGTCTATACAATATCTTCAGAAAATAATAAAACAGGAGCTGGGTGCAGTGATTCATATATATAATGACAACCACTCTGGAAGTGGAAATCAGGAGGACTGGTCATCCTAGGCAAAATGTTAATAAGAGCCCATAGTGACCAATTAGCTAGGAGTGGTGGTGCATATCTGTAACTGCAGCTATCCTAGAGACATAGGTAGAAGGATCATTGTCCGAGACTGCGCCCAAGCAGAAACATGAGGCCATATCTGAGAAATAACTAAAGCAAAAAAGGGATGGACATGTGTTTCAACTAGTAGAGTACATGCCTAGCAAGTGTGAAGTGCCAGTACCACAAAAAGGAAAGAAAACAACAAAACATATTTCTATAAAACAACTTTCATATATTCAAAGTGACAATGGCCCCAAATTCACAAAATTGAAATCAACCAATTGTATTGTTTCCACTTCTGTCTCCTGTGTGATATCCTCTCCGGGCTAAATGAGCTGAGCAGCATTTGGAGGAGTACATGTTACTAATAGTTTTTCACAATTTATGGCTATTTTAAGAGTACATGATCAATGTATGTGAATTTACCCTTGAAAGAGAGGTGTATTATAATTAGGAAGCTACTAAAAGTGCCAGGTAAATGTAGATTGGTCGATTAGAAAGGTTGTAGGAGGGCTATTTGCCTCCAAGTCCGTGATCGAAAGGAGGTCACTCAGAGCCTACAACTGCTCTAACCTGTCTACACATTTAGCTATAATTGTTTACTTTCTCTAATGCAACATATGTATTTTCATCCAGTTAAACTAAATCAATCGTAAGAATAAAAAACAAATCTGCAGTTTTTACCCCAAGGTAAAACAGTGATCTTTTTCCATATAATTTACATGTTTGATGTGGCACTTAGTACATGCTAGCTCGATTCAAACAAACTTCATTATCATCAATTTTGAACACAGTGAAAAAGGGAAAAATAATATTCAGGAAGTAAAATCCATTTGTAGCACAGAATACTGCTGTATAAAGGACTCAATTTGCCTACCAAATATAGCTACATTAAGCAAAATCACAAAACAACATAGAAAGGCCTATCAGGTCTGGGTTACGCCTTTTCCTGCTCTCTGTGACTACATGCATTTGTGTTCTGAATTACTTTAGCAATAAGCACACTCAAAGGAACTACAACATGGGCTCTTAATAAGAACTGCTTTGATTTACAGGAGAAGTGGAGATTCTTTCTCTGAGTTTGGGGCTGAAGCCCTCACTCAAACATTAAGCATGCTGTCTCAGGGCATACAGACCTTGTCCAGGTCATCACTTACATTATTTTTCTGCAAGACCCGCAGTGCCTTGTTGACATTGTTCAGGGCATGAACTCTTGTAGATCCTTTTTCTTTTGGCTGAAAACAAAAAGAAATAGTGTTCAATGCTTAGAAGAGAGACCAAAAATCTACTAGACATACAAGGATTTGTAAATTCACTTTAAAGTTTGAAAAGTTTATATTCAAATGAACCTGCACTAGGAAGCATTGATATAATGAATCTTCAGATTTTGGGCTAATTTTCCTTGGCACAGTAGTTTTTTTTAAGCATGAACCAACTGCTACCTGAGAATGAAAGTACTTTTTCTTCACAAATCCTATATTGAATGATTCATTCTTTAGCTCTGTGTGGATAATTATATGACTATCAATAACAGAAAACATCAGCATAACACATAAAGACAGTTACCAGCAAGATAGATAAGCAAGCTGATTTCTGCACTTTAAAAAGTGTCTAAAAGAGATGTAAGTCTCCCAAGATTACACAATGACAAATAGGGTTAATGGAAATCATTTCTTTGACCATCTCTTAATTGTCCATGTTACCAAAGCTCAAAATCTCAATCATCTTTGTTTTCCTAACCCTGACTCTCAGTCTCCAAAGTTTTATTTTATAATTTTTAAACATCTGCATAACTCATTGTGACATACAAATTACCTCATTTATCTACTGTTATGATACTTGTATTTATTTCCTGCTACTATTTTCATTTATTTTATTCATTTTGTCTGTTTTCTTGAGATAGGATTTTGCTATGTACTTCAGACTGTATTTGAACTCAGAATCTTTCTGCCTCCAACACCTGAGTGCTGGAATTCACTATATATTTCCATGCTATCCTCATTTCCTTTATCTTAATATAAGCCCTCATTAGCTATTTCCCCAACATACCAGAACCTCATTCCTTCGCACACACTTTTCCACCTTCCTCCTTCCTACACATCTTCAGCAATGACATTGTTGGACTAAGACCACTCCCAATGCAAACTCTTTCCAAAACTTTCAACTCAACCTTAGGAGGTGATAGTTTAGTTAAGGACATGAACTACAAAGCTAGACTGGGTTCAATTTTAAGGTCTTCTACTTTTACACTATGTGATCTTTGGAAAATTTCTCAATCCCCCTATATACAAGTTTCCTCATCTGATAAGATAGAGTTAATAAAAATAACTTTTTCACACAATTGTTAGGAGAATTCAATGTGTATAAATCACTTACATTGGTGCTTATCATGTAATAGGTAGAACTCATTTGCTATTGAGTTTGTAGTATGTGTTAGGTACTCCACACTATCTCTAATTCCCTTTGCAAAGCAAATGATTTCATGCACAATGGTACAGATGGTAAACATGAGGTGTTAATATATGTCCACAGAAACAATAATTGCTGTAGCCAGTAGGCAAAAGCATTGTTCTGTGCCTGTGGAGTCAGTTTCCACATTTATTTCTTTCTCATTTCTCTATCTTGTGCATGAACTGACCAAATAATCTGTTTTTCTATTTCTTAAGTTTTGCCCTATACTTTCCAGGAGTTCTCCTGTCCTTTTCAACCCTACCCTCGAACACCGTACCCTTTGAATTGGTTGCAGAACTTACCAATTTACGTTAAATCATGATAGTCTTCAATATGATTTGCCTCAGAACCTTTATCAAATAGTTGTCACATCTTGTTTCTTCAACATTCTACATCTATAAGAAATCTACACTTTTAACCTGCTAGAACATCTTCCATCACAAATGTCAAAGAGATAACCACTTACATTTTTGTGTGTCCTTACTTTCTAGTATGAAGTAGAAGAAAATAAGGCCATAAAACATTTTAGATTAAAAAAAACTTCTTATGTATATACAGATTCACAATATGCAAGTGCAGTTGTAATTTTAGGAACTTAAAGTTTTGAAAATAATTACTCAAATCAACCCTCTAATATTTAGACAAAAAACATATTTTCTTTTAACTAATCACAAAGAATTGCAGTGATGAAGATAAAGGAACATTACCATTTACTTCAAACTCAAATATATAAATGTGCACATCTACATACATATGTGCAAATTTATTAGGACCAAAGAAATTCTACTCTTTAAAAAGCTGCAGCTTTGGATTCTAAAGTGAAAGCCAAAATCTGTCCTATAAGAATCTTTTTGGGCAGTAATTTTAATTTTATAGTTGTAAGGCAAATACATTCCTATCAACCCTGGGGATAAAATGAGTCAATAATCCAAATGCAGATGCTTCCAAATAAGATACTAAGATTTCTGTTCTATGGTATACAGAACTCCTTTTAGTGGTACAGGGCATATCTTTGTAGAAAATATTAGGATCCAATCCCAGGCACAGGAAGTTCTAGTATTGAAACTAGTAACATTCATGATACAGGTGATTCTGCTCTGTGGGAAAGGTGAAATCCTCAGATCAGGGGTGCCAGGTCTATGTCTAAGATGAAGGATGGATAACTGATTTGATTAGCAGCAATTACTAAAATTATACTGTGTATATTAACTTGTATAAATGTTTGTCATTTTTTTCCACCAATACTTACCTCATAATGACCATTCTCCTGAAATATTTTCTGTAGTGCCTGTTACTCATTAGGTTTATTTTATCTCTGTATCTCTGTATCTATCTCTGTATCTATCTATCTATCTATGTATCTACCTGTATCTATATCTATCTATATCTTTATATCTATCCATATCTTTATATATCTATATGTTAATATCAATCTATCTCAATGAACATTCCAAGGCACTTTTTAAATTCTTTTTCCTTCTTTTGCTAAAAATTCACTATTTTGAACATTGTGACTTTATGAAAATTGTTATCCCTGACAAAATTGCTTTGGGTGATAGAAGTGTTGCCTCTATCCAGGAAATAACTAGAAAATAACAACACAAAGGAGAAGTGGTTATACACATATCCAAAGGGGAAGAAATTAAAGGCTTGTGCATAGAACAAGTACAGGTTGTAAAAGAATAAACTGAAATAATTAAAAGATATCAATATTCATTTGTTTCCATAATTGGAAGCAGGCCTGATCACAGGATTAAGAAAAAATTTGGAACACACCAAGATACTGATTCTGTATCTATCTCTTTATCAATCTAACATAATATAGCTGTACATATTTTGCCTATATATGTGTGTGTATATATATATATATATATATATATATATATAGTGATCATAGTGTCATAAGATATGGATGACTATACATAAATATATTTCTAACTATCATAATTAAGACTAAATGTACTCAATGCCAACAAATTGGCTAAAAGCAAATGATCAAATGTTAGGCAATAAATCTGAACTGTTTTTATCTTGTAAGGCAATAAATCTGATTTTTTTTCATGTGACTAAAGTATTTATTTTTACTAAGTTTTCAAGTTGTTCCTTTATCAACTCAAGTTCAAAGTGTTAAAAATCTATCACTTGAAGATCCAAAATGGAGGCTGGGGTAGGGAATCAGAAATCTTAATCTCCATGACCAAGAAACCTCCTTGAGATGTTGCAGTCACACTTGTGTAATTCTGATTGCTCCTAGCCAAAATAATAACCACCATTACATTAGGTGTGGATAAAATTCAAAGACTGAGCCTCAAATCACCCTTTATTTGCCATCTAACAGTCATGAAAATCCAGTGCTGAACTACTAGCAAGGCATATCCAGCCTCTGGCCCTGGGAAAAAAGCCCCTGGCTGTTTCTCTGGTTTTCTTTCTCTCATTTTTTTCTCCCAACAAGCAGAAGACAGAGCATCAATAAAAATCAAACTCTGTGAAATCCTGGACACCTATCCCCTGGAAGTCTCCCAAAGCAGGCCTGGTAGTAGATCCCAGAGCTGATCTCTGGGACAGAGGGCAGCATTCCAAACTGAATTTCCCACCTTGCTGGGGGAAGAGCTTACAAACAGAGCTGCAGCTGAAGGGCAACACAGCAGCTGCCTAGTGAAAACAACAGCTCTGACCACCCTGCTTGAGCTCGTAGTCTTACCTTACCTCACAGTTCCAACTAATCTTGTGGACAGAAGGAACCAAATCATACTCACAAGCCAGTCACTTGGTGAGACCACATCAGCACTTCCACTTGTATGCCAATATCAGGATTGGACACATAAAGGAAAAACTCCAGAACATTTACCAAAAAGATGGAAATTTCTGTGGTTCCTGAACCTGATGTTTTATATTGTGTTTTTTTAAAGTTTTAAAATTTATTATTCCTATATTATTAACTTCATCAATACTATTCTCTTATCCCTATTTTTACCCTCTTCACTTTCCCTTCTCCTGTGCTACAATCCATTGTTCTCACTCTCAACTACTCTTTCTGCCCCTTCTCATCCACTCTTTCCTCCATCTTCACTTCCTCCTTCTATTCTCCCCCAAGCTGTCACCACACTACCCCTCACTCCTACATACTCACCACCCACTGACTAGCCTACTGTACCAACTGTACCCAACCCCAGCCCCTGCAATCCTTGATACAAGCACCCTCTGCTACAACAACAGACATGGTTAATTAGAATGTACAAGATACACTCAAGAAATTTCAAGGCACCAAAAATAAAGAACATGAGAAGAAACAGAAACAAATAAAGGAATTCAGAGAGGACTTCAACAAACACCAAAGTGAAACAAAGGACACTATAAAAAAGGGAGATGTATGAGTTAAAGTTGACAACACAAAACATGAAAAAGGAGCTGAATAAAGATATGGAAAAACCTCAAAAAAAAAAAAGAATCAAACAGAAATCCTGGAAATAAAATGTCCCTTTAGTCAAACAAAAAACACAGTGGAAGGCTACTCTAGCAGACTAGAACAAGTGGTAGAAAGAATCTCAGTGTTCAAAGACAAAAAGAAATTAAAGAAAAAACAGAAGAAATCTTAGTCAAACAACTCAAGAGCTATGAAAGTAATATGCAAGAACTCAGTGATTCCATAAAAAGAACAAACCTGAGAATCATGGGCATTGAAGAAGGAGAATAGAAGCAAGCCAAAGTTATACATAATATATTCAATAAAATAATAACAGGAAAATTTCCCAAATCTCAGGAAAGTTTTGCCCATTCAGGTACA